TCATGTTGTGTTAAGGACTTGGTGGTTGTGTCAACACATCTACCTGGGGACCCATATTAATGGTTGCTTGAAAAAACACAACAGCATCTAAGTAGAGGAAAATTTTAAAACATCAGAACTAATAAGAAAAGAAATGGCTGCTTTAGTGGTAAATTTGCAGAATGTGGAAATTGTTGCTAAATTGTCAAATCAAAGAATAATGTTCATTGACACTGTATAGATGTTGTCCTGTGTGTAACTCTTCATGTTGGTGGAAATAAGTCAAATTATAAACTGCACTCCATGAAACATCTCAATAGTTAAACTTATTTTGAAAAATCTAAAGAGGGTAATCTAGAAGAAAATGCTTATATAGTTTGCATTACTCTAGATAATGTGTAGTATCATACAAATTCACATAATCTTTTCTTCATGTCTACAACTGATAGGACAATGTCTAAGTGATTGTGAGTTTTACCTAATTGTAGATTGTCTAACACAGGGGCGCGATCCAGAAAGGTTTATATGGATTTGTGTTTCTCCATTGCATGTAAAATCACAGTGCAAATAAAACAATCTATTTTGTTAGTGGGAAAAGTGATCCTTTTATGGGAATACAATAAACCTGAAGATTCTGCTTTAATAAATGTCAATATCTTAAAAGATTCCAACCGTGCTTCCGCACTTCTTGTGCTGGAGGATGGTCTTCTGGTCTCAGATAGAAAAGCCTTCCCTGAAGAAGGAACACTGAACACATGGTGCTAAATGTGCCCCAGAGTGACGAGCGTCTGCACAATGTGGTCAGACAGCAAATATGTGTTCAATGAATGAGTCACAATTTAGAATTTTGCCAACATTTTTTCCCAAACGGTCTTCTCATTTTAAAAATTATTGATAAAATCCTAACATCAGATAATTTGATGTTATAAAAGGGTTTCCAAATCCTCGCCTAAAAATAATTTATTTCATACTTTAGTATGTTAATATGGGAATATAGCAATGAATAACATTTGATTCTCTGGACACTCTGAGCTCTTTCAATCCATACTCAAATATTGAGATATTTGTGTTATGTTTATTGTTACTAAAAAAATAAAAATTATTGGGAACATTTAGAGCAGTTACCCATTTTCAGATCCTCTGATAAGAGCTTTGCATATTCTTTTGAAAAATGAATCTTCCAATTGACCATATGATGCTGTTGTAAAGATAAAGGTGCTGTAACCTTCTCATAGTTCATGGCTAATATTCGGTTAGGAACCCAAGTAATCTTAATCTAGATTCTGTTCTTGGAATGATTAAATTTTATATGAGAACATGCAATTAAATTGTGTATGGATTATTGTTATAAATCTAACCATACTTATAACCTGTTGAAAAAAAATGTATCACAGTAAATATATTTGATTTAGGGAAACTGAGCATGTTTACCTGAGGTGTATAAGTATCTAATACTCAGACAATAATTGTTAGTAATTATAATAACTATTACTATTTTAATCATCAGCCAACTATTAGTTCTATTAGTAGCCTGAAATATTGATGAACCTCAGAATCACAATAATATATAAGATAAATGTAACATTTTCTCTTAGTTCCCCAATCTGAATCAGTGATATCATTTATCCTCAATCTATGTGTAGATGAGCTACCTTTTTAATGATCATTATTTAAATTTTAAAATATTTGATACTCTTTTTTTTCCCCCCCACATCAAATTACAGTAGGCTCCAGAGAACACTTTTTGGATTACATGTTAGTACTTTAAAATTCAAGTTAGATTCACATTTGAAAGAATTAAAAAGTATATGAAAAATGAAAGAACTAAAAAATAAAAGTATATGAAAATAAAGGAACTCATATTAAAATCACACAAAAATGACCCAAAATATACAGACTTATATATTTTTTATCTTTTAATTTATTATTATTATTTTTAACATCATTTTTCATTTTTAAACAATATTTGCTTCCCCCCACCCCTTCAGGTATAGTCCCCACCAGGTTTCTTTCACCATGCACCATCACCTCAGTCCCCTGTGCTCCTCCCTCCCTCCCTCCGATCCTTCTCCTTCCTCCTCCTGTGCAGTATGTCTCTGATTTGTAATTGTCTGGTTTTGCTTTGTTGTGTTTTGTACTGTTACTATTTTTTACTCTAATGTCTTATTTGGTTCCCCTATATTCCTCCTATAAGTGAAACCATCCGATATTTTTCTTTTTCCTTCTGACTTATTTCACTGAGCATAATTCCTTCTAGTTCCATCCACATTGCTGCAAATGGCATGAGTTTATCTTTTTTTAATTGCTGGATAATATTCCATTGTGTGTATATGCCACATCTTCTTGATCCAGTCAGCTATTTTTGGGCATTTGGATTGTTTCCAAGTTTTTCCTATTGTAAATAGTGCTGCAATAAACATAGGTACAGGTGTTCTTTTGAATCAATGTTTTTGTGTCCTTTGGGTAGATCCCTAGGAGTACAATTGCTGGGTCTTATGGTAGCTTTATTTTTAGTAGACTGAGGAACCTCCAAACAGCTTTCCATAGCGGTTGGACTAGTTTGCACTCCCACCAGCAATGTAGGAGAGTTCCTTTTTCACCACATCCTTGCCAACATTTGTTGTTGCTTGTTTTTTTGATATGTGCCATTCTTACTGGTGTAAGGTGGTATCTCAATGTGGTTTTGATTTGCATTTCCCTGATGATAAGGGATGTTGAACATTTTTTCAAATGCCTGTTGGCCATTTGCATTTCCTCTTTGGAGAAAGGTCTTTTAAGTTCTTCTGCCTATTTCTTGACTGGATTGTTTATTTTGTTTTTTGTTGAGTCTTTTGAGTTCTTTGTATGTCTTTGTGATCAGTCCCTTATCAGTTGACTGGAGTGCAAAGATTTTTTTTCCCAATGAGTGGGGTATCTCTCTGTTTTGGTTAATGTCTCTTTTGCTGTGCAGAAGCTTTTCAGTTTGATGTAATCCCAGGTGTTTATCTTTTCCTTGACTTTCTTTGCTTTGGGTGATGAGTCTTTAAAGATGTTATTGGGATGTATGTCTTGTAGTGTTTTACCTATATTTTCTTATATATATTTTATGGTTTCAGGCCTTTTGTCCAGTTCTTTTATCCATTTTGAGTTGATTTTTATGTATGGTGAAAGGTAGTGGTCTAGTTTCATTTTTTTGCATGTGGTGGGCCAGTTTTCCCAGCACCATTTATTGAACAAACTGTCCATGTTCCATTGTATATTCTTTGTTCTTTTCTCAAAGATCACTTGTCCATATAAATGTGGTTTTGTTTCTGGGGTCTCTGTTCGGTTCCATTGGTCTGTATGTCTGTTTTTGTTCCAGTACCAAACTGTCTTAATTTTTATGACTATTTAGTATAGCTTGAAGTTTGGAGGGGTGATCATGTTATATTTTAAGAGAACTATTAATTAATGTACATCTTTTTCTGCATTACCCCATCCCAAGCTGATATATGCATGTGTTTTGTGTGCCTATGTTTGTGTGTGTGTGTGTGTGTGTGTGTGTGTGTGAGAAAGAGCGAGAGAGAGAGAGAAGGGAGAGGGAGAGAGAAAGCGAGAAGAGAAGCAGTGGTAGAATTGATATTTAGCACTTGAGAATTTTATTAGGTACAAGCACAGTAGAATTCAGTTGATGGGGGCTTTTAGATTTATTCTTAGTTCTTATGTAGTGAAAGTTTTATACAAAATAAGATAAGGTAGCCTATGCACAATCACTTGGTCTTTTTACAGAAGTTATACTTTAATAATTAAAAATATATTTCTAAGCAAACATAATTTTTAACTATGAGTTTGTTTTTTCTTAATCACTTTGGAAGAAGTGATTAATCACTATAAAAAAGTGATTATGTAATTACTATGCTAGTTATATGTAGATCAAATGAAAATTAACTATATGCAGTTTTCATATGTTTAAAATAGAATGGAGAACTTTGATATTAGCAGATTGAGTATGAATTATGCAGCTTCTAATGGGTTCTCTCTTCAAAAATATTAAAGAGGTTGGGCTTCCCCTGGTGGCGCAGCGGTTGAGCGCTGGGCTGTGAGGCTGCCCGCAGCCTCTGCAGTGCCGGTTCATTCCCCAGCAGCCAGTGAGGGTCCCACACACACATAAAAAAAATATATATATATATATATATTAAAGAAGTAACAGAATAGTCAAATATATATATATTAATTACAGTTAACTAAAATAATAAAAAGTGAACAAATCAAGTCACATGTTTTTCTATGTGAAATATTTTCCTAGTTATAATGCAAATCTAAATTTTTTGAAAGGAAGGAAAGAACTTGACAGCTTCAATATGTTAAAAGGCTTAGCTTGAATATGTTAAAAGGATACCTATTTGTTACAAGTTCTTTTTGTTGATTATAATCTTATCTGACATTTTTATCCCTCTGTCCACAATTGGTTAACTCTTAAAACATGGCATTGTGTGAAATGAAACTTGTTTATATAAGTGGTGCATCACTCTTTCTGTAATTCATTCTTCAAACATTTTTAAAAGGTTTTGTAGACATTTTAGAAAGTATTTTATACCATAATTTCAGTATTAGACCTCCTACATTTGCTGTGATACGATACTTGAACCTTTTTTTTTTTTTTTTGCAAATAATGGTTGTCAAAAAGTTGAACTGTGTGCTATATGCAATTAAAAATTGTCTTGCTCTTCTGTACATGTTGAACATGTAAGTGACCCCATGGGTCTCCCAAAGTGAGCCTTTAACATTCCAGAATTTTTACTATGCATCTGTTGCTGGCTTCTAGCCTCCCACCCACACAGGCTAAGACTAACTAAATGAAGCTTATGCTAGTGCAAAAAGTACATAAAGATGAAGTAATAAAATGGGAAGACAGTAATCTTCTTAATAGGGTTGCTAAAACAGCTTCACTGCAAGACTGTGTGCACATATGTGAAAGAAAACAGAGTTTATATGAGTAGAAGAACTTAGAAAGTAATTTATTCAAATGGTTTTTCTTATCTTTTTAATGTTATGTATTCCAGATGGGATTTATACAGCTCAATGAGGACTTCATGTTTATTGAACCACTCAATGATACAGTGGCCATTACAGGTCACCCACACCGTGTATATAGGCAGAAAAGGTCCGTGGAGGAAAAAGCCAAAGAGGAATCACATCCTCACAGTGCTTCCTGTGGTGTCATTTCAGGTAATGCTTTCTCCTGCAAGGAATTCACCAAATATGCAATGGAAGATGAATTGTTTTAAAAAGTCCATCTTTCTTCCTTTACCTTCTCTCTCCATTCAGCTTTCCTTTTTTTAATATGGAATCTCTAATTAGTATCAAACATATCTATTTAGACTTTATTTTAGTTTTCTATGAAGCACTGTATTTTAATATAGAAAAGAGAAAACTTGAAAGGACCTCACCAGAGATTAATATGTAACATGCTCTATATCCTCTTGAATTATGGGGTGTTCCTCATGGGATAATATTCACCTTACTGGAATAGAAATGAGATGGAGAGATTCCAGATAGCCTGAAACTGAATACTCTGGACTCATGGCCTTATTTTAGTCTATCTCTATGAGAACATCATAGATAGCTCCATACTTTCACCAGAAGAATCTTGTACTTCTTCTTTTTTTTTTTAATTGAGCCCAATAAAAATCATCTTGGAGATTAAAATTAACAGAGGAATAGTAAGAAGAGTAAAGATTTATGCCTTTAGATTTTATTTGTAGTGTTAGAAGACCTTATATTTGAAAGTATTATATCTTGTCTGCCAGTTCTACCCAGGAGTGAAATGGGGGTGACTGTTTGTACACTTCTGGACCTGTGGCATTTGCCACATCTGTAAGGAAAGGGAATGGCTTCTGTTCCATAAAAGGAACTGAAAGTCCTAACCTGCATTCAGAAAAAATCTTACCAGATTCCCTAGGAAAAAAATTTAGACTTTTAATCCAGACCTCTTAGTGAATATTTATTGAGGGGAGAAATATTTCCTGTTAGCATCTGAGGAAATATGAATATATTGAAGAGTTCTTAATGTAACACTTTGAAATTTGGTACAGATTTAAAATTAGGTGTTATGCAATGGAATACTGTTCAGCAATCATTAAAGATAAACTTGCCATTTGCAGCTTCATGGTTGGGGCTGGAAAGGATTATGCTAAATGAAATAAGCCAGAAGGAAAAAGAAAAAATACCGTATGGCTTCACTTATAAAAGGAATATAGGGGAACCAAATAAGGGATCAGGAAATAATAATAATAAACAAAATTAGCAGGCAACTATAAATCAGAGATATTCTGCAAGGGAGGGGGAGGAAGAGGGATCAAAGTGGGAGGGAAGAGCACAAGGGACTATGATGATGATTCACGGGTGAATTGGTGGTTGGAAGTTGATGGGGACTATACTTGAGAGGAGAAAGCAAACATTGTACAAAAATGAACAATGATATATATATATATATATATACACACACACACACACACACACATATAAATACTAATCAATAAAATTAGGTGTTACTATTGTTAGTGCCAATATATTAATTCTAAAATTGGATGATGTTTGAGGCTGGTTTTGATATATATAAATCCTGACAATAAGTAACATTTGCAAGGCCATAGGACATTCATGTCATCAGTTGTCTAGGGTGTTCAGATACAGAAAGAATTATAATGTTTTTGTTTATAATATTTTTATCTCTAACTTGTGATTTCTGTATTCTTTTGGGAAAGTTCATGGTATCAGCCTCTGTGACAATTATCTTCAAAAGTGGCTTAAGGGGAACAGCACATGCCACGTTCTTCAATGTACCCATCAAGGCCATTTAAATAGATGCATCTCTCTTTTCTTAGAGTTGTAGACACTAAGGAGATAAAAACAGCTGATGAAAGTCAAAGCATTATGAACAAGCAAAAGAAAAATGCTTATATTGTGAAACAGTGACAGCAGCAAGAACAGCTTGGGTCTAGTCCCTTTAAGGAGATTGCCCTGTGTGAGCTATGCTGGCAATCTGCACTATGAAGCTTTTGAATAGTACGTTCCAGCTGTTGTAACTACTCATGTACGTGGATGACACAAAGCAGGCTTTGTAAGCCATTGTGCATGGAGGAAATGTTTCTAGGAAATTCTTATTTTTAATAGGTTTATAAAGCATAAATACATGGTTCATATTTGGCATAAATATATGGTTTATATTTGGCAAACATTCTTCACAAAGTTTCTAATTACGTTTTTTTTTTTTTTTCATGTGTGACTGTTATATATTAATGTTGACCTATTTGGATCAAACACTTGTATGCAAGGAGGGCTGAGCTGTCATCAACTGAAAAAATTATTGAGCTTACCTATTTTCAGATGCTTTTTAAGGGTCTAGAATTTTTAAGTTATTAGTTGTGAATTGTAATACTCATTTCTTCCTACTGATAACAAATTGTAGCTCCTCCCTTTTCACTTGAGGCTGGTGTGCTAACGTTCTGAACATATGTTGCAATTTGGATAATCCATATTATAATCCAGATAGTACTTGCCTTTACATAAAGAAATCATGGTGTTTACTTGTATCCAACTTGGTTTTAGCATTATTCCCCTTTGTATTCTGAATGCCTGATGTGTATGCTGTCTACATGTATTGATTGTATGATAAGTTTTTCATACTTTAAGATGACTTTGTTGTGTTCTTAAAAAAAAGATTACATAAAGGAGAAGAAAACACTTGAGCTTCAGAGTCAGGGGTCCCCACATTCAAGGCATAGCTTTAGTGTCACTGAGTTAGTTATTTTTCAATCCCCTCAAATTTTTGAACATTGACTATTTTATTTGCAACTAAGCACAACTTATCATCTTACAAGGATGCAGCTAAATAGCACAGCTTTATTCTCAAGAGGTAAACGGTGTATAGTTGTAGATAAAATGGTAAATGAGCAATTGTTCTATAGTCTTACAAGAATAGGACAGACTCAACTTCTAAAGCTTTAATGTTGGGAGGCTGTTAGCCTGAGAGAGCAAGTAGAACTTATCCAGACTACAGGGAAAAGAGAGAACAGAGTGGGCTAATTAAGAATGTGGACTTCGGGGTCACACTGCCTGTGTTCACGTTCCTGTGCTACCACTTTCAGGCTGTGTAACCTTGAAAAGCTTACCTTTCAGAATACTCAAAATGGGGATGGGGATGGGGATGGGCATGCCTGTTGCGAGAATTAAATGAGATTAGTGTGAAAATGAAAAACATACCTGAAATTTTTAACTTATGTTGTCAGATAGAAAGAGCATTTCAGGCAGAAGGAACATACACAGAGGTATAATGCTGGAGAAAGCATTGACTAGGTGAACTGGAGCCAGATTTCAGCAATATGGGCATGAGAGTCAACCCTTTAAAGATAGTCATGGGGTAGATAATGACAAACTTGTGTGCCCTGGTCAGGACTATCTAGAAAATATGGTCTTGGAAGACCACATTCTCAAGGCAAGTGACATTATCAGTAAATATTCCTTCACATTTTAGTATAAACTATGACTATGTCTAGGACTCAGTGTGAACAAGAAAGAGATTTATGGACTTGAAGAAAACTGATCTATTAAGAATTTGAGAAGCACTGGACATCATCTCTATTCTTAGAGCTAATGTAACCAGACGACCACTGAAATAGTTTCCATATGCCATCCATCATCACTGGAGATTATTGTCACTATGTGGAGGGTATTATGGAGAGTACACATTGAGTGTTGGTGAATACATTTTAAAATTCCTCTAACTGAAATGGTGTGGTATCAACTATGTTGTTTATACACGTGGGTGAAAAATAGTCCGAAGATTTAGGAAATAAAGAATGAGCTCAGCATAGTTGACGCAGACAATGAGGACATCAAAGGCAGTGACTTCATAAAAAGATTATTTCAATATGCATGATTTTCACACTCAATGGCTAACTTGTTTGATGTGATATACCATGAAGTTGAGATTGTTAAGAAAACTTAGAATGTTTCAAGTAGACTATTTAAATGTAACATGCAAATTAGGACACAGCACACTGATCTCTTGGAGTCAACACAGCTGTCACTAGGTTGGATGTTAATGGAAACAAACTTTTCTATTTTTCTCTTAGATGACCTGTCTACCACTTGTGGTGCAGTTAAAAAGCTCCTCATTTTATAATTATCCCCTTCATTTCTATTTGAGCTCCCCTTTTATTTTCTTTTTCTCCTCTGTGAGCACTCCTCCCATATGTGCACCCCCTTAAATGCAGGCATTTCCCAGGACTTCCTACTTTATATTTTGCACTCCACATGATTTCTGGGGTGATACAATCCAGATCCATGGGTTGAACCTCACTTATGCAGTGATTACTTCCAAACTCTATCTCTATTTCAACCTGTCTCCTGACTGCCAGATATTTAGTAACTTCTATTCAGATGTCTCTCTGGCACCTCAGACTAAATAAATCTAAAGCTAATTCCTCCTAAATTATAATGTTGATATCCCCTATTATCTACCTAGGCACTTGTAAGAAGTAAGAACTACACTTCCAAATCAAAACAAAAACAGAAACAAGAAAGTAATTGTAATCACCTTTTTGTTTCTGTAAGTTATTAAGTGTACTCGTAATAATGTTTTGTTTCTAATATTGTGCCTGTCATCTCATCCTCTGTTCCTACCATGTCATAATTTTTTTTAAAAGATTTATTTATACAAGCACTGGGTACAGTCAGAAGCACGGGAGGGTGAGAGAATTCACCAGAGCCAGAACGGGGAACAGAACAGGCAGACTGATGAAGTACACTACTGAGGGGAGCAGCAGGCACAGCAGGAGAGGTCTGCGCACCATGTGGGACCCTCGCTGGTGGCCAGGGATGGAACCAGTGCTGCAGAGACTGCGGGCAGCTTTGCAGCCCAGCGTTCAACTGCTGTACCATTGGGGAGGCCCCCATGGCATGATTTTAACACAGAAGATCATGCCCATCTAGGCTACTAGGAGATATATATCTGTATCATTAGCTCCTTATATGTTTCTCCATATAACTATATATAAAGTTATATAGATGTGTGTGTATATATATGGAGATATATATGCCCTAATATCTCCATATATATGTCTGTGTATAGGTCTCCTATGCACATATATAAATAATTTCCCATAATCAGTTAATAGGTGTTGACTTAGCCCAGATGAATCTTTCATATACTTTTAGGAATGTTCCCTACTAGATACTAAGTTTATATAATGATATGCTAACATTTAATTGTAGGTAAGACTGAGTACAATTAGACCATTACATTCCTAATTGTCCTAGATCTCAGAATGTTGATAAACCCAATATCTATTTTTTTTTAATGCATACAAGACCTGTGGTGTAGGCCAGAGGTGTTGTGGGAGGAGGGGGTTGAGAGGACTCACCAGAAACAGAGTGGGGAACAGAATAGGTAGATCTACTGAAATACACTGCTGAGGGGAGCAACGGGTGAGACAGGAGAGGTCTGCTGCACCATGTGGGTCAGTACCCTGGCCGGGGATCGAACTTGTGCTGCAGTGGTTACCCATATCTTCATAATACTGAGACTTAACCCCTTGCACCATCAGGGAAGCTCCCACTATCTATTTTTGTTCTGCATCAAGGTCTTTGATGTTGACTGCCGGTACTAAATTTGGATCCATGAATTTTAACCAGTGATTCCTTTCCAGGGGGCTATTGTTGTTTTTATCCTTCTGTTCTGCCTTGTTTCATGTATAGTATGTTTATTTTTCATTAAAAAAGGGATCTTGGCATTTATTTCTATAATACTGTGGTTAACTTAGTTAATAGACTTTCTTGATATTTGCGTAATACTCTGTTGGTTGAATAGATTTTTGCTCTGAGTCTCTGATAGAAAAAGCAAAGTGTTACAAATTACGGAAATATCAGAGACCAGTAAAGTTTCCTGTAGTGGTGGGGTCATCAATTTCATGTTAGATCTGAGAGCTGATTCACTTTAGCCTAGAAGTCAATAACAGAAGGAAACCAGTAGTTCAAGAATTCAAAGATAAATTGATCCTGGCACAGAGAAAAGACATTAGAGGAAAGAAGGTAGAGTATTAAGTAATATATATATATATATATATATACTTTTAAAGATTTATTTATTTATGCATACAAGAGCTGGGGTATATGCTAGAGATGCGGGGCTGGGGGTGAGAGGATTCACCAGAGACAGAGGGGGGAACAGAACAGGCAGACTGAAATACACTGCTGAGGGGAGCAGCAGGCGAGACAGGAGAGGTCTGCTTCGCCATGTGGGTTTCTTTCTGGCCGGCCAGGGATCGAACTTGTGCTGCAGAGGCTGCGGATTGCCTCATAGTGCAGTGCTTAACCCCTTGCGCCACCAGGGAAGCTGGTAAGTAAAATATATTTAAGCGAATTTGCAAGCAAAGCAAAACAAGACCAGTGACAAGACTTAAGGAATTTATCAGTAACCAAGATGGACTAAAACTATGGTAATATTCATCTCCAAATTCAAAACAAAATTACAGGCATCTAGGGAATGACTAATTGAACATGCACTTATCTCCATGGGATTCCAATAAACACAGTTACTTCCGGGAATGAACTAAAATTATAGTAAAGAAATGTAAATGATGTCAGCTCACAAGTACAAAAAGTAGGGAAAGGAGATGATAGTGATTTAGTGATAGCAACAGAATTTTGGTAAATAGTAAGGAGACAAATAGACAATATTTAATTTAGCAATAGATTGTGGACATAGTTGTGCAACTATAGAAATTTATTATAACTAATTGCCTTGCATACTTAAGTGGTTTCCCATTATGGCATGTAAATTACACCTCAGTAAAGCTGTTAAAGCTGTAAATTCCTTATTGAAATGCCACATGTGTACAGGAAGTTGCACAAATGTTCAAATGCTGAATTTTCTCAAATGAATATAGGCTTGTAGCTAGTACCCACATCAGAGAATAGACTGCCAGTGCACTGGTGGTGGGTGTGGTATGGTAACATACATGAAAGGGTATGATCCTATGCCTCTAAATCATACATACATTTTAAACCAATCTTATCTCAAAAAAAATAAGGATACAAATAACATAAATAAATAGAAAATATCAACACCACAGCTATTCACCTTGTGGCTATTCCCAGGCATTCATTTCTCAAAACCCCAAGATATTTTTTATGCTGACTTGTAACATCTTGACTTCCCAGTTTTTCTTATTTCTATAAATGGAATATTCTCATCATTGGTTTCTTTAGCTCAGCATTATGTTTGTGAGATTCATCCATATTTTTGCATGTTGTGATAGTTGACTCGTTTTCATTGCTATATAGCTTTCTATTGTATGGATATGCCATCATTTCTCTAACCATTCTATTTGTGATGATTATTTGAACTATATAGAATAGTGTGCATGGGATTTGTATGCATTTCTGATGAGTATGCATTTTAGATCGTTGGGTATGCAAATGTTGAACTGTAGTAAATACTACTAACAGGTTTTTCAAAGTGTTTATCCTAATTTAAACCCTTGGCATGCATGTGTGTGGGTCTTCCAATTATCTCCACATTCCTGTCAATACTTGATGTAAACATGTCTTTCTTTTGGTCACTCTAGGAATTTTAATTTAACTTATTGCAGTTTCAATTTGCATTTCCCCTAAGACTGATGAGCTTGAGCACTTCCTTTTTAGAAGAATTGACTATGCAAGTCCTTTGCCAATTTATCTTTAGGATATCTGTCATTGATTTAGAGTAACTTTTTTTTTGCATATAAAATCTTTTTAAAAAGTTTTTTTGGGAACATTGGTCTTTAATATTATGTAAGTTTTAAGTGTACAGCATTATAAATTGACAACTTCTTGATGATTGATATACTACATCATGACTATTTCTTTTATAGAGAAGTATTGTAAATATCTTCTCCCACTTGGTGGCATGCTTTTCATTATAATAGTGGCATATTTTAATAAACAGACATTTTATATTTTATGTAGTTAAATTTATAACTACAATTATTTGTGGGTACTGCTTTTATATGGTCCTGTTTGAGGAATCTTTATTACCCTAAGGTCATAACTTCTGTACGATCCTAGTAAGAGTCAGAACCAAATCCTTTGTAACCCTTGCATAATATTTAAGTAATTAGGGTATCTACCTGAAATTAGGCTGCATGAAGCGATCGCTTGAGGCACTTCTTACAACAAGTGGTTTGCAAAAGAATATCATGGTATCTTTTATTTATTTAGTTACTTTATTTTTGTGTTTCTCTGTGCTAGAAATTTTTACTAATGTAATCTTATTATAAGCCATCAATACTCTAGAATGTATGTTATTATTACCTATTTTATAGATGAGGACACTGAGGCTGACTGGATGATACTAGTTTCCTGTTAGCAGTGTTAATAAATCGTGGAAGTTTAGTCTGTCTAATTTCAAAATTATACTCCAAAATCAAATGCCCCTTTTGAGCTGGTGTGTGCAGGAAACTTAGAGATTAAAATTTTCTGTTTACTTTCATAAGATGGAGGTACTATTCAAAATTCATTTCTCTATTTCAGATAAAGGAAGAACTAGATCTAAAAAAATAACAGAAAGTGGAAGAGGGAAACGATATTCATACAAATTACCTCAAGAATACAACATAGAGACTGTAGTGGTCGCAGAGCCAGCAATGGTTTCCTATCATGGAGCAGACGCGGCCAGGAGATTCATTCTAACCATCTTAAATATGGTAGGCAAACTTTAAAGTGCGCTTGGGATTTTTTCAAGAAAACTCTAAGGAAGAAATGTGTGAGTATAATGAAGTTCTTTAAAAATTAACTCATTACTGTTCTTTCTATTATTGACATCATAAAGAAAAAAAAAAACAAAATTTAGTTATACCTAAATGATACCTATTAAAAGAGATATCAAAATAGGAGTTCATACCTTCTAGTAAAGAAGCACCCTATTATTTTGATATGGCAAAACTTTATTTTTTCTTCTCTCTTTTTTGTCGCCTTTTCTTTTTTATCAAAGGCCATTTGTTGAAATTAGCAAAAATGTTATAATACTGTTTTATATGCATGGCCTCCTCAAAAGTATTACAGATTATGATGTGGAACAAAAACAGGTTAGTAATCTATTGAATTTTTATATAGCTATGTAAAATTGGATGTCAGAGACATTTGTTGATAAATAATAGTTAATAGCTACCTTATTAACCAACTGAATCACATGTAGCTAATTTTGGTTGACAGTTCTAGATGCAGTAGTCTCCATATCTAGCATCTTATGCTAACTTCCTACCAATTAACCCTTGACTCAAGTGAATACCCTGTCAGGCATACCTCTTTCAAGGTAGAATTAGCTGTAGTAGGAGGTAGATCTTAAGGTGGGGCAAATAATTTTTGCTATCATTTGACTGTTTTTGCAGTGGAAAACTTTTCTTACACATCTGTCTTGTCTATATATTCCCGAGTAGTAAGCCCTCTAAAAGTTTGGGTTCAGTGTGCCAGTTTCATATTTTTCTATTACAAATTTAATAAATGCTACATAATACAAAAGGGCAAGGTACCACATAAAACATTCACCTCTCTTTCCAATATTGCTATACCCACACTCACATTCCACTAAGCAGCAATGGCCTGTAGCCTGTCTTCATGGGCAGTGTGAAAGAAGGGAGCTTTGAAAATCCTGTTCCTGGGCAGAAGCCTTGGAAGAGAATAAGGACACTAAGTGAATTAGGAAGTAACATAAAGCAGGCTGTCTTCAGGACTGTTTCCCAAAAGAAGGGAAGAAACTGGCACTTTTTGGTCTTAATGAAAAAATCTAGGATTTAGTAACTAAGATTCTTTCCTGCAGTATTGAAAAAAGCCCAACCTTCCCTCTACACCCCACCCAACCTAGACTATCAAGGTTGCACTAAGTAATCTCAGAATTTAAGTCTAAATTGTTTGACATCTGAAGTGAATTAGCTATGTTTTTATTGCTTATTAAGTTAATATCTAAAAAAGACTTTTTAATATATGAGATTTCTCAATTAAATTGAGACTTCTCTCATATCTGGGTTATAAAGAAAATCAAAATGCCTTTCAGTTTTATTTTAGGATTTTTATTTCCATTTGTTTTTAGGTTTTTAACCTTTTTCAACACAAGAGTCTTGGTGTGCATGTCAATCTTCGTGTGATAAAGCTTATTCTGCTCCATGAAACTCCAGTAAGAAAGTCTTGAGTTTTTTATTCAATTAAGTGGGTGAGAGGTAGTGTTCAAGTATTTTTAAGTAAGAGGAATGTTAGAGACGTACTTTTTTTATTGACTTTCATTCCAGAAATATCCACTGAGTCACTTAAAGTATACATAAAACTGGCCTTTGGTTTTGGTTAATACCTCAATTTTATTCCAAAACCAAAATGTTCTTAGTTTCCAAGGATCCAAAAAACAAACCTCAACTTTCCAAAATGTAATTTTTAAATGTAGCTTTTATGGGTTTTATTTTTTTTTTTATTTAAGCATGTGCTTTTAAAACTTTTTCTTATCTATAATTCATTTTAAATGAAGAACGTTCCGTGGCATCATTTTAGTATGCTTCTAACTAGCACTTTGGAAAACTTTTATTCTTTAATTATAGAAAGAGTGAGTTATTTAAGTATAAAGATTCCACCCTTCTCTTTTTTGTACAAAACAAATTTTGTAATGATTGTAACTTCGCAAAGTTGAGAGACTTTTAACTCTGGCTATAATAATCCTGACTGTCTTTCAGTTCTGATTAATGTTATGTTCAGCAGTCTGCTTTGATAACTTAAGAAGTCCCCCTGAGTTTTAATTTTTTGAATATCTGAGAATAATTTAAGTCGAAATGTAGTCTCTTCTTGTGCAGGCTGATCTATATATTGGGCACCATGGAGAGAAAATGCTGGAGAGTTTTTGTAAGTGGCAACATGAAGAATTTGGCAAAAAAAATGATATCCATTTAGAGATGTCCACAAACTGGGGAGAAGACCTGACATCTGTGGATGCAGCTATACTTATAACAAGGTAAAATGTCCAAAGCCAATTAAATGGCATTCCTTATTCCAGAGCCTTACTGGTAATCCTATTAAGGCCTATTCCAGATTTTGTGTGGCAAAAATCTCTTGGCATTGGTGATGGTAGTCATCTCCCTGAATTTATAATAACTAATCTCTGAACAGTCACATTTTAAATGCTATCTTGACAAAACATTTGGTGATTTAATTAAAAAAATAAAAAACTTGACCATCTATTTTTGAAGATACAACCATGGGTGATGAGTGAAAACTTACTACATGAAGAAAATAAGTTACAATGAAATCTCTAATTTTGAGCAGCATCATGGAATTCTGTTACTCATAAGCTTTTGTAATATAGCATTAAGTATAACTATAAGTAGGTTAAATAATGAACCACAGTAAACTCTGTATGAGTACTCTATATTAGTATATTACTCTTAAACTGATCTTTTTTTTTTTAATAATAAATTTTATTTTTATATTCCCCATACAATTGCAACCCCCCCATTCTGACCCCAATCCCTCCCATCCCGCCCCCCAACCCCAAAAAGTGTCTCTGGTTCATAGTTTTTTTGATTTTGATTTTCACTTTCTTATAGTTATTCATTTTCCTGGTCCCTTATTTAAGTTTTCTAGATTCCTGCTAAGAGTGAGACCATCTGGTATTTTTCTTTTTCTTTCTGGCTTATTTCACTGAGCATGATCCCTTCCAGCTCCATCCTTGTTGCTGCAAATTGCATGTGTTTATCTTTTTTGAATGCTGAGTAATATTCCATGGTATATATGTACCACATCTTCTTGATCCAGTCATCTATTTTTTGGCATTTGGTCTGTTTCCAAAGCTTAGCTATTGTAAACAGTGCTGCTATAAACATAGGTGTGCAGGTGCTCTTTGGAATTGATGTTTCTGTGTCCTTTGGGTAAATACCTAGGAGTGGAATTGCTGGATCCTATGGAAGCTCTATGTTTAGTAGGTCAAGAAATCTCCACACAGCTCTCCATAGTGGTTGGACCAGTTTGCACTCCCACCAACAGTGCAGGAAAGTTCCTTTTTCTCCACAACCTTGCCAACATTTGTTGTTGCTAGTTTTTTTAATATGTGCCATTCTCACTGGTGTAAGATGGTATCTCATGGTAGTTTTGATTTGCATTTCCCTGATGACAAGTGATGTTGAACATTTTTTCATATGCCTGTTGGCCATTTGCATTTCCTCTTCAGAGAAGTTTCTTTTTAGCTCTTCTGCTCATTTTTTGACTGGGTTATTTTCTTTGTTGTTGTTGAGTCTCATCAGCTCTTTGCAGATTTTTGTGATCAGTTCTTTATCATTAGTGTTGGGTGCAAAAATGTTCTCCCAGTCAGTGGGGTTTCTCTTTGTTTTTGTTATTGTCTCTTTTGCTGTGCAGAAGCTCTTTAATTTGATGTAGTCCCAGCTGTTTATCTTTGCCTTCACTATCACTGCTTTGGGTGATGTATCTGTAAAGATGTCTTTGATGTGCAAATCACGTAGTGTTTCGCCTATATTTCCTTCTATATATTTTATGGCTTCAGGTCTTATGTCTAGTTCTTTAATCCATTTTGAGTTGATTTTTGTGTATGGTGTGAGGTAGTGGTCAAGCTTCATTCTTTTGCATGTAGCAACCCAGTTTTCCCAGCACCATTTATTGAACAAACTTTCTTTGCTCCAATGCATAGTCTTTGCTCCATTGTCAAAGATTAGTTGACCATAAATCTGTGGGTTTATTTCTGGATTTTCTATTCGATTCCATTGGTCTGTATGTCTGTTTTTGTTCCAATACCATGCAGTTTTGATGATTATGGCTTTGTAGTATAGTTTGAAGTCTGGGAGTGTGATGCCTCCCTTCCCTTCTTTTTTTTTTTTTTTTTTTCAGGAGACCTTTGGCAATTCGGGGTTTTTTGTGATTCCATATGAATTTCATCAATAATTGTTCTATTTCTTTGAAGAATGACATTGAAATTTTGATTGGAATAGCATTGAATCTGTATATTGCTTTTGGTAGGATGGCCATTTTAATAATGTTTATTCTTCCAATCCATGAGCAGGGGATGTCTTTCCATTTCTTTGTGTCTTCTTCTATTTCTTTTAATAGTGTTTTATAGTTTTCTTTGTATAGGTCCTTTACCTCTTTTGTTAGATTTATTCCCAAATATTTGATTTTTTTGTTTCAATAATAAAAGGGGTGGTTTTTTGATTTCTTCTTCTTCAGATTTATTGTTTGTGTATAGGAAGGCTACTGACTTTTGTGTGTTGATTTTGTATCCTGCCACTTTACGGAACTGATTGATGAGTTGAATTAGTTTTTCTGTGGAGTTTTTGGGGTTCTCTATGTATATTATCATATCATCTGCAAAGAGTGATAGTTTGACTTCTTCTTTTCCTATTTGGATTCCTTGGATGTCTTTCTCTTGTCTTATTGCTCTGGCTAGGACTTCCAGTATTATATTGAAAAGCAGTGGTGAGAGTGGACATCCTTGTCTTGTTCCAGATCTTAATGGAATTGCTTTCAGCTTTTCACCATTGAGAATGATACTGGCTGTTGGCTTCTCATAGATGGCCTTTATGATGTTGAGGTATGTTCCTTGTATCCCAAGAATTTCAAGGGCTTTTATCATGAATGGGTTTTGCACTTTGTCGAAAGCTTTCTCAGCATCTATTGATATTATCATATGGTTTTTATATTTCTTTTTGTTGATGTGTTGGATAACGTTGATTGATTTTCGGATGTTAAACCATCCTTGTGTCCCTGGAATGAATCCTACTTGGTCGTGGTGAATTATCTTATGGATACATTGTTGGATTCTGATAGCTAAAATTTTGTTGAGGATTTTTGCATCAGTGTTCATTAGGGAGATTGGCCTGTAGTTTTCCTTTTTTGTATTGTCCTTATTCGGTTTTGGTATTAGTGTAATGTTGGCTTCATAGAACGTGTTTGGTATTGTCTCTTCCTTCTCAATTTTTGGAAAGAGTTTGTGAAGGATAGGTACCAATTCATCTCTGAATGTTTGGTAGAATTCATTTGTAAATCCATCAGGTCCTGGGCTTTTGTTTTGGGGGAGGTTTTTGATTACCATTTCAATTTTGCTGCTTGTAATTGGTCTGTTTAGGTGTTCTATTTCTTCTTTATCTAGCTTTGGGTGATTGTAGAGTTGTAGGAATTTGTCCATCTCCTCTAGATTGTTGAACTTGTTTCCATACAACTCTTCATAGTAGTTACTGATTATTCTTTTTATTTCTGCTGTGTCCGTTGTGATTTCTCCTCTTTCATTTCTGATCCTGTTTATTTGTGCTTTCTCCCTTTTTTCCTTTGTGAGCCTGGCTAGGGGTTTGTCTATTTTATTGATTTTTTCGAAGAACCAGCTCTAGGTTTCATTAATCTTTTGGATTTTTTTTTAGTTTCAATTTCATTTATTTCTGCTTTGGTTTTTATTATTTCTTTTCTTCTACTGGTTTTGGGGTTTTTTTGTTGTTCTTTTTCTAGATCTCTGAGCTTCGAGATTAGGTTGTTTCTTTGAGTTCTTTCTTGTTTCTTGATGTGAGCTTCTATTGCTTTATATTTTCCTCTTATTACTGCTTTTGCTGCGTCCCATACATTTAGGATATTGGTGTCCTCCTTGTCATTCAATTCAAAGAATTTTTTAATTTCCTCTTTGATCTCCTCATTAGTCCAGTGGTCTTCGAGTAGTGTGGTTTTTAGTCTCCATGAGGTAGGAAAGTTCCTTGCCTTCTTTTTATGGTTTATTTCTAGCTTGATGCCTTCATGGTCAGAAAAGATGGTTGGTATGATTTCAATCTTGGTGTATCTGTTGATGTTTGTCTTGTGCCCCAGTATGTATTCGATCCTGGAGAATGATCCGTGTGCGCTTGAGAAAAATGTATACTCCGTTTTTTGGGGGTTTAGTGTTCTATAGATGTCTGTTAAACCCAAATGCTCTAGGTCCTTATTTAGAGCTTTAGTTTCTTTACTTATTTTTTGTCTTGTTGATCTATCCATTGTTGATAGTGATGTGTTGAAGTCTCCCACTACGTAAGTGTTTTCTCTGATGTCTGTTTTCAGAGATGACAACAGTTGTCTGATATATTTTGGTGCTCCTTCGTTTGGTGAGTATATGTTAATTAGTGTTATTTCTTCTTGAAGTATTGTCCCTTTGATCATAATGTAGTGACCGTTGGGATCCCTTTTTATTTTTTTGAGTTTGAAATCTGTTTTATCTGATATAAGTATAGCTGTTCCTGCTTTCTTTTTTGGTCCATTTGCTTGTAGGATTGTTTTCCATCCTTTGAGTCTATTTTTATCTTTTGTAGCTAAATGTGTTTCCTGGAGACAGTAAAAGGTTGGGTTTTGTTTCTTAATCCAGGCTGCAACTCTGTGTCTTTTTATTGAAGAGTTTAGTCCATTTACATTTAGGGTTAATATTGATATGTTAGCATCTGTATTTGCCATTGTGTTTGTCTTTCCTTTGATTTTATTTATTCTTTTAATATCTTTTATTTTCCTTGCCTTCTTTCGTTGTTATTCGTCCCTCCGAGGTTCTGGCTTTAGGATTCCTTGTAGTATTTTTTGGAGTGGGCGTTTATTGGTAATGAAGTTCCATAGTTTCTTTTTGTCTGGGAAGGTCCTTATTCTTTCTTCATAGAGGAAGGAAAGCTTTGCGGGATAGAGTATTCCTGGTTGACATCTGTTTTCTTGGAGTCTGTTGACTATGTCCTTCCACTCTCTCCTTGCCCGTAGTGTTTCTTCAGAGAAGTCTGATGTCAGCCTGATTGGTTTTCCTATAATGTTATGTGTTTCTTCCCTCTTGTCAGCTTCATTATTTTTTCCTTGTCCTGGATTCTTGGGAGCTTCACTATTATGTGTCTTGCTGTATTTTTCCCATGCCTGGGTGCCTGGTTCCTGGATACTCAGTGAGGGACTTTCACGCGCGTCTCCCTGCAAGCCTAGGTCGCAGGCACGGGGACCTCGGCAGCCGTGATCCCAATCTGCATTTGC